AGCTGTATATTTTTAACTTTTATATCCACTAAAACTTCACTAATGTGTTTCTACACATTTGTTTTGTGTTAAATAGAGCAAAAACCCATTGAATTCAATGTTTAACTTTTTTTCAAATTCATTAATTAATACAGTAACAAAATGGTTGCATGCAAACAATAAATGTGTTAAAAATGTTACCATATATTGCAAACGAATAAAAACAAATAAAAAAGAAATATTATACCGTCAATACCATGATTCAATTATACACTTGCAGTCAATAAAAACGCACCACCACTTTTGTAGACTATCTTCAGCTATATAACTGTAAATTTAAAAAAATTTCGACTAGATCCGGTAGCCACTAAGATATAAATAATTTTTTTTTTAAATTGGGTTGCACACTGTTTAGTTATAATTGTGTTCTGGTTGTGTATTTGAAAACTTGTGCAAAATGCCCAATCATCAGAAGAAAGTAACGCGTGACCAAAAAGTTCGCATATTGGCATTAGATAACGAAAACTTAGTTTCACGGCAAATAGCAACTAGAATTGGTTATAGCCATTCAACTATTGTCCAAACAAAAAGGAGAATAGTGATGTGTGGGAGCGTAAAAAGGCATCAGGTCGTCCTCGTAAGTCAACTGAGAGAACAGACAACTGTACATTCTAAAAGGGTGGAGATGCAATATTTTAACCAAGTGGATTTAAGTGCAAACCATATGCCGACGGCTAAGATATGTGGGTTTATATATAAGACGGCTGCACGACTTTCTTGGGCTAAAATTGGGATCAAAATGATTGGCAACAGATTATATGGTCTGACAAAAGCAAATTTAATTTGCTAAGATCAAAAAAAAATATTTGCTTTTTGTGCGACGTTGAGGTGGTGAGAGGTTCCCGGATAACTGGGTAGTAAACAAAGTTAAGTTTCCTCAAAGTCAAATGATTTTGGACTGCTTTTCATACCATGTTTTCCCTTTACACTTTATTGATGGAATAATGAATGCACAAATATTATATATGCGACAGTGGTTAGAAATTTTTTTGTACTCGCAATTGAAGAGCATTATTCTTATACGGATCACTTAATTTTCCATGACTCAACGGCATGCCGTCGTGTAAAATGGGTAAGTTTTGATTGGAAAATAATCTTGTATAAAACATTTATAAAATATTGGTGTATTTGATCCTAATCAGCTCGAATTTTTATTTTTAGTTGGCCAATACACTTGACGATCTATGAATTTAACGCTTGGACTGAGCACTTATGGCACATAATGAAGTGTGAAGCTGCTAAACAGAAGCCAACAAATAAAAGTCAATTGATAAAGATTTTAGAACTGGGTTGTTATGGATAATATCCGTTATAAGGAAATAAATTAAGGTCCTAGTAAATTCCAATAATGACAATTACAAGTATTGAGGCTAAAGGAATAACGACTCTTTATTAGAAGAACCTATTGTGTAGTCGATAATTCAACCGTTAGTCGTGAAAATGATATAGTCGCTTTAAATTTACTTCACATTGTTTCCTTTTAATTAATCATGAATATCATGGAATGTGCATTTTTGATAATTTTTTAAAGTAATTGGCTATTAATTATCAAATACATTTTTGAGTAAAATTTTTTGGAAAACTAATTTACACCATGTATCCAAACAAATAAAAATGATCCTAATATTCTAACCTTATAAACTAAAAGCTCATGAGATCTTATTTCAGTTATATTTATTTGGTGGTGTGTTTTTAATGACCCCAAGTGTACATATAAGGTTGTGCTACTACGGACGGTATATTTCTTTTTTATTTATTTTTATTCGTTTGCAGAACATGTTACCACTTCTAACACATCATAATACCATGATTAAATTATACATATAAGGTTGTGTTATTACGCAGCGTGCTTCCTGTTATGGAAAAAAGTTAATGCATATTGTCAAAAAAAAACTGTTTTTTTTAATCATGAATTTTCTGTTAAAATTTTTTTAATTTTGTGTGATTTACAATCTATTCGTATTAAGTTATCACTCAAAAAACACATTTTCATTCTTGAAATCCTTGAAAAATGTATTTTTGAATCATATAAACAAAACAATACAAAGCAAAACGGCTTATTTTGACATAATGAATTAAAACACTTTTGACAAATTGTTGTCTAAGACTAAAATTCACTATAAATCGAAGAAATAAGAAATAATTTTCTTATTGTGTGATTTAAAGGATCGAAGAAAAGTTTAATATTGAATTAAAGTTATATAGTATAAAGCTCAATATTTAAGAAACCAAGTTTTAGAAGTAAAAAATAATTTATTTTTATATAACTAAAAGTAATTTTTTGTTTATTTATTCAATATGTTTCAAGTATGGTTGAATAAAAAAAAAAACAAAACGAACAACGCCATCACACGATTAGATTACCGATTCTGTATTTGCGACAAAATCTTTCTCATTTTGTTTATTTTTGTACACTCGCAAAATATGGGTATGGCAACTTTTATTTTTTGTTTACATGCAACCTTTTGTTATTGTATGAATTAACGGAATTTACTAAGAGTAAGGAAATTCTCAAAGAGCTTGCGTTAGTCATCACATGGTTATGAATTTTGTATTGATTATATAATCTTTTTTGTATATTTTTATTGGTTTGAAAAATTTGGTAACACTTTTTATTTGTTTTCATGCAAACATTCTTATTGTATGAATAAATATGTCTGAACCAAAGTTAAATATTGAATTAAAATTAATTTTGCACTATTTAATAGAAAAAAAATGTGTAGAAACGCATCTGTGAAGTGTTAATGGATACAAAAGTTAAAAATATAAGAGTAAAATTTATTATAAGTTGAAGAAACACGCACTTTAAATAGTTGAATTTTTGAACTTTATATGCAAATATCGAAAAACCATAAGCCAGCGGCAACTATATATGTAGGTATATATATTTTCATAATCTGGAAAACCTCCCCTTTCTGTACATATCCAATTTAACCCCGAATTCTGGTGAAGCTATTCTCAATCACAGCCGAAAAATCTGCACTGCTTTTTCAATGAGCACAGCTGCAAAGAATTAAAAATAAAGACCAAATAATTTGAGCATTATTCGAATTTGTTGTCGTTCATAATGAATAATTTTACGGGTCGGTTTAAGTATACCATCCCACGGTTTCAGGGTTAAAAGGGGTAAAGTTGGATAGAGGAGGTTCTCCAGATCAAGAATATATATTATAGCCGCCAGAACCATGTTGACAAATAATAAGTCTTGCCATATCCTAACGAATAATAATAATAAACCCAACGATTACCCTCCACCCGCCCAACCGACGCGAGGGGCGCAATCCGCATACGTGCGGAATTAGCCGAGTTGAGATCTAAAACTGCTCAGCAACAGAAAAAAAAATTTCAACAGCTAAGATCTAAAGTTACAATATAATAAATTCTTACATTTTCATACTTTTTAACAATACCGTTATATGGGGAGTGGGCGGAGTTGCCACCCGATTTCAACTATTTTCACACTGTAGGTAGAGGTTCTAAAAAAATTTGCTTCCATTGAATTTTGTTATTATAGCTTTAGCGGTTTAGGAGATATGCACATTAAACCTNAAACCTATTAGGGGCGGGACCACGCCCACTTAAAAAAAATTTAACTGCAGATGCCCCTCCCTAATGTGATCCTGTGTACCAAATAACAGTCTTGTATCTTATTGCGGAGCTAAGTTATGGCAATTTATTTGTTTTTGATTAATGGCGATTTGTGGGCGGGGCAGTGGTCCGATTACGCCCATCTGCAATACCAACCGTTTCCCGGTACCAAGAAACATGTCTAAAAAGTTTCATAAAGATATCTCAATTTTTACTCAAGTTAGAGCTTGCACGGACGGACGGACGGACAGACAGTCACCCGGATTTCTACTCGTCTCTTCATCCTGATCATTTATACATATATAACCCTACATCTAACTCGATTAGTTTTAGGTGATACAAACAACCGTTAGGTGAACAAAACTATTATACTCTGTAGCAACAGGTTGCGAGAGTATAAAAATAAATGTTAAAACGACGGCGCTTTATTTTACACTGCAATAAAATCATTTCCAACCACAGAAACAACAAAATATTTTTATATTTCAGTTTTCTTCAACTTAATTTATTTGAATATCGTGGCTTCCTTCAATATTATTAACGAAATTGATGAAATTTAATTAATTTATTAATTTTAGACACTTAAACGTCAACAATAAAAAAAAAGTAAACATATACAGATGATAGAATCACACACTCAAAAAACATACCCCGCCGTGTTGTATTTGTCGAATGTCAATTTTGTATTGGAAACAACAACATTGTTGATATGACAGTCATAAAAATAAGACAATATAACTTATTTTTGCGTTGGCGGTCTTCGGCCGCGCTTCAAAAAAAATAAGCCTGGTCGGTCCAACACTGGGGTGTACCAAATTTTTTCGCGCAGAACTTCTTTTTGCGTTGGCGGCCTTCAGCCTCGCTTCAAAAAAAAACTCTGATCGGTCCAACACCGGGGTTTATCAAGTGAAGGAATCTAAAAGATTTATTAGTGTCCATCAAAGATTATGATTCCTGTATTTGGGGTGTAATCTCATTTTATTTTATTTCTCTTCGTTTGCAAAATATATTAAAATGGCAACACTGGTTTTTACAAAACTATTAAAAATTATAAAGAAAAATTGAATTCAATATTTTGTTGGATAGCCGCGTTGTTTTAATACCTCGCTCAATCGATTTAGCATTGAACTTACCAACTTATCTGTTTCCTCAGCTGTAATCTAGGACCATTCTTCTTTAATAACACTTCGCAAAGCCTCTTTACTTGATATTGTATGCTGGCGAATTCTTTTTTCCAACAGATCCAATAGATGCTCAATAGGATTGAGGTCAGGTGATTGAGGGGGCGTTTTAAGTTGAAGTTAAGAAACTTTCGCCATCTTTCAACAACTTAATGATAATTTTTCTTTCCGACAGAGTAATTTCTTTTCCTTTGGTTTCCATTTTTTTAAATATTATTAAAACGCGTCACGAGCTCTCTAAACGACTAATTATGTTAAAACACAATAGAATCTACGCAAAAAAAATCGAACAAATTCATGAAAAGTAACGGTATTTCCAATTCAAGCTAACTGAACGCAGACTTAAGGTGCCTATGGTTACTTGTTCTTACACTAAAATCCCGTTATCACAAAAATTAAAATAGGGAATATACATTTTTGTTTTTGCATTTTGAACTTAAGAATATAAAGAAGAAATACATGTAGAAAATTTGAACTGAATTACTTATTTACATTGTGTTTTTACTTCACTTAAAACATAATGTCGGGTGAACGCAGACTTTATTGGCTATGTGTAAATGTATAATTCATTTTAAATCGAAAAAATACGTACTTTAAATAGTTGAAAGTTTCAACTTTAAACGTATATATCTCGAAAACTATAAGTTGCCCGCGGCTATATCTAGATATATTCTTGATCTGGAGGACCTCCTCTTTCCGGCCATATCCATTTTATTCCCGAAATCCTGGGACGGTATTTTAAAGCCGACCCAAAGAAACTTTCTATAATTATCAATAAGGTACAGTGAACAAATCTTGTTTGTAGTTTTTTTTTGTCATAAAAAGCTTACATTGGAACACCGGCAAATGGTTGACAAATTTGGGACAAACTAATGACATTCGACCATGAATTGTTAACAACAAAGTCATTTCGTCAATATGTTAATTTAAACGCCGTGATACAATTTTATAGTACTCACATTTTAAACTAAATAAGATGAATAGTCGTTACTAAAATTATCTATTCTTTTAATAATAAATAATTCCCTTTTATAGTTTTACAAACCAATGCACATTAAACTTATTATCTACATCAACGGTTGTTTAGTAAATTATCGATCGCTTTTTTGTTCAATGTTCTATAGCGCGGCATTTCGACAGGCAATATATGCTGTCTCGAAAAATATTGGAAACCTCAGGTGCCACAGGCATAAAAGTTGGTTGGCAATAACAATTCGCAGTGTAGATCCACCGTAACACTCCACCTTTTAAGCAGAGGTACACTGGCATATGCTTCGGAAGGCGAGGTATGTTTTTTGAGTGTGCCATTCTATCAGCTGTATATGTTTACTCTTTTTTATTGTTGACGTTTAAGTGTCTTAAATTAAAATATTAAATAAAATTCATAATAAATTTCGTTAATAATATGGAAGGAAACCACGATATTCCAGTAAATTAAGTTAATGAAAAGTGAAAACCAAAACGCCGCTATTTAAACATGAAAATTTTTATTTTTGTCACATTCTCGGGACATTTTTGTATTCTTAATTTTTCACTAAAAGCTGGTGAAGTGTAGAAACATTACACAATATGACATACAACCTTTAGGGGCGCTCACAATTGTCGTATTATTTAAGATTCTTGAAATACGACATAAGACAAAGCTTGTGAATTGCTTATATATTTCGTCTGCTGGTACTGCCAAAAGAATCAACAGTTTGAAAGGGACTGCAAAAATTTAAAGAAATGTAAAACTATGCAACTAGAAGCTTCAACTCTCCATTCTGCAAAAAAATACCCATAACACTATGCAGTTGAAAGTATGACCTTCTATACTGTCGTTTGAATAACAAATTCACTCAAACACATCCTTGAAGAAAGTGGAAACACCACAAAAACACTCTTTTATAGCACTTCAAACTAAAGAGTGAAAAATAATTCTTAATATAAACTGATTATAAATATTGGCCAAAAATACTTGTATTATTTTATAACGTGTATATTGGTTAATATGTGAGTTATCTTAATAAAGTTCAGAACGGGCCTCTATTTAAGACCTTGTGCCTAAAATTGATAAATTCGGTTATTTTGTTTAGTGCATAAAAGTGTATATTTATATACTTCATATAATGATTTTCGTTACTTTTACAGACTTTATGCCAAATATGTTGGTCAGTGTGTGTTATTACCATAAAATTGCGTCACACATTCTACATGATGGGTAAAAGTAAGTTAACCTTTTACCGTTAGGTTATCACTGATTAATGCATTTGTTATCAGATAGGTTACTTTTGTTCTTCGGGAAAAACGTAATTATTTCTTCTCTTTTTTTGGAAACTATATGTTACTCTTTGGTTAGCAGCGTCCTTTACATTGGCTATTTGTTTGGTCAGACATCTGTTACTAAAAATGGTTTGGTTGGTTAGAGCTATTGTTATCTATAGGTTACCGAAAACTGGTGCATAGGTTACTTCGTCATTTTCTATAGATATGTTCAAAGATGAACATGTGCGTTAGTGCCAAGGGGCGCTACTTAATCGGTGATACGCAGTTTAGGCTATATTCATTAGTTTAAGGTTTTGAGTTTTCTCAAAAATAAAATATTCAAAATTAAGATACTCAAAACTATTTAATTTAAATTTGTAATAACATTTAGCAGTATTAAATGTAATAATATATACATTTAGAAATTGATTCTAATGAAAATGGAGTTACTTTTAATTGTTTATGTTTACATAAATTATTAAGATGCTTTCATATTTTTTTTTTTAACCGCAAATGAATTAGTTTGAATATCATGTAACATTTTATTTAAAACAAGAAATATAATTAATTCATGAATGTTTTGTAATAAATAAAAAACAAAATTTGAAAAGGAATGTTTGAAAAACTCGATTCGAGTAGCTGAGACAGACAGAGCGACACCAAAAGAGAATTTGCCGATTATAAACGACAAAAGAGTCCCCTTGTGAACGCCATCTATGTGAATGTTCAGATGAGGACTCTTTTTGCCACCCAAACCGGTTTCCGTTGGCGAGGGGAAAACAAGGAACAACGAACAGACCGTGCTAGTGCCGTTTCACATTGGGACGCAAAAGAGTCTCATACCAGTTTATTAACGCTGATTTCAGTTACGTATTGCTAAAGGTATGAATTTTAATACGGAGTAAAGAAATTATGAGTTTTAATACTTAAAGATTAGGAAATTCTATTATAAATTTGGCCTTGAAAATATTAGTAGCGATATTCAATACATTCTTGTGGATTAGAATTCCCGTCTTTAGTATTTTTGAAACTATTTAGCGGGTAGGTACTTGTATTATGCATATTGTTCTACCATATTCATGGTAATTCATTGCAACAAATGTGTGACCATCATCTCAACATACAAATGAAATACGCAGCACGCAGTGTTGCGCGGTGTTCCAGTCAGACCGCACAAATATTTACGAACATTTTGTGAAAAGGAATGCAGAAAAACTAGACTCGAGTTGCTGGACTCTTTTGACCGTGTGAATGCCAGAGACGACACCAAAGAAAATTTGAAAACATCAGACTCTTTGCTCCCAATGTGCGGCACCTATAGTGCTCTAATATAATATTATCTAGGCAATACGATATAACACAGACATGCATAACAAAAGGATATACATGTATGACAATACAATATACAAATGGGGTTGCTCACGAATCGTGCTAAAAACCTTTTTAATTAATGCATTACATATTTTTATTTAATGTAAAGCAGATTTTATTGCATTTATATATGGTTATTTTTAAAATTATGGACCGTAAATGACTTCCATGCTATCCACACCTAATTAGAAAATTATTCAAGCGCCTGAAGGTTGAAGTCGGATTGCATCACTTATCAATTTAATGGCTGCTTTAATTCATTACAATTTTTGAGTTTTATTTTGTACACCTCTTGCTTGACATAACCCATAACAGAAGAATGCTGCGATTAGGTCAAGTGACCATGGAGGACAGCGGAAGTTGAGTTAAATTGTTTCCAATTTTCGTTTGAGCTCGGAATAACCCTATGGCTATTGTGCAGTTACTCCATCTTGCTGAAACCAAACGCTATTAAAAGGGATCACCTTCACGCAGTTGAGTAAAAACTCATTCAATATTTTAAATAACGGTGCCTGCAGTTGCTATAAACCGTTTTCTTCAAAGTATGGCGCGAAAATACACTTGATGAAACTGCGTACCATACAGTAACTCGTTCGGGTGAAGTTCCGTTTCGTAGATTATTTCTGGATTTGATTCCTCCATATACGGTAATTTTGCCTTAAATTTCCGTTTAGATCAAAATCTCATCAAACAAAACAGGCAATTTATCAAGTAATTGTCTTTTCGGTCAATAATTTTTGGCGAAATACCAGACGAATAGACAAATCAGAGATTTGAACGGCTTGTTATTTGAACTTTCTCAAAACAGGTTTAAGTCATCATGATTATCCGTTGTATACCGCCTGCTAACTCATTTGCGCCGACAAGTTGCGATCGAAACTCTTGAATTGCTTGAATTGACGATGCACAGCCACGTGTTCGCTGAACATGGACATACGGATATCGATAGTTACGGTCTTCTTGCGATACTCCAGATTCGCAAACATGTTTACCAACCTCATATTGTCACTCTACTTGGGTGAGTGCCGCCAATATGGAAATGACGGACTCAAACATGGTACCGCCACTATCCAAACCCTCTTTTGGTATCTTAAGCATTCATTCAAAAGCTAATATCGTCCAAATAAAAAAATCGATCTCTCACACAGAAAAATTTACGTTTTGTTTTTGGCACGATTCGTAGACACCTATGATATAGTAGCGATGAAAATATTGAAATATAAATGAAATAATTCTCACTAGATGACGTATCTGCCAATGTTATTATATGAGGAATGTTTCTCTCAGATGTCGTGTTTATTGCTTAGTAGACTCCGTTGAAGCTGTTAAGTAAGATTAAGCTTTTGCAATGTCTTTGATTTCCGGATATCATCTGCATTACTCTCACACGGATTCTTTACGCTCCTAATTTAGAAATACATTTTGTTTTCCTATGTTAATGAATAATTTTATTTATTGAATATTCTAAAATTTTGTACTTTTAACATGGAATCTTCGGACAAAAATATATCATTCTTTCTAAAAACTATTATTTGTTTTATTAATAGATTTTGATAGGTGCTTGGTTCTAATTCGGGAATTTTACAGTGTAAACTGTTGCGGTTTTTTATGATACTTTAGCGAGATCTACATCTAAACTGATATGTTATTTTTATTTTTAAAATTATATGAATTCTTGTAGTTTATTTCGTTTAGAAAGGTGTCCATCTTTTCACAAAATCCGGGACGTTTTGTTATCGACTATGATGGGTGAGAGAGCAACACAATTTACTAAAAGAATGGAAATGATAACGTTTCAATCACTTGTCTGAGTGGACGGTGTTTCGTTTTTAAAACGTCTTCGGTCTGACGTATTTCTCTAGTTGATCGATTTTCGAAGAAGCTCGGGATGCCATTTAGGTGAGTGAAAAATTCAAATAAGAATATTTAAATTTCTTCACAAATAAAATCGATTTCAGGGTGCTGACTTGTAGGCGAGTTTATTCGATGTCCATAGTCTTAATATGTGAATAGTGTCTGATGCTTTCAAAATATTATTTTCTGTGAGGAAAATAAACGTTTTCAATTGTTTTCCAGCCAGTTTATCAGAGTAGTCCCACAAATAGTTTACATGTGCAAACTGTTAGTCCATGTCTAAGATACTCGTAGCAATCACCTGTTTGTCATAAAGACAATTAAAAATGAAAAGCAAAGATTGGTTTAAAGTTAAATATTTACTGAAATTGTTTCGCTTATGACTGAATTGCTTCAAGTTAGTTTTTCTTCAGACTCTTCATTTCCGCTTTTAGTAGTAATTGTCGCGGAAAGTTGTGTTGGTCGGATGTTTGTAAATTGCAACTGCTTGAATATCATCGCCTTCAATTTTCCTTATTGTTTCTTCGAAAATCATGGCTTAAAATTGAGAGATTGATTATGCTATAATGTTAGCACTCACCAATGACATATTTCTTCCATTTTCCACAAAACGCTTTTTAAGGTTTAAATTAAAATGTTCTTTACTTTTTATTAAATGTAATTTTCAAATTTTATTGGTTTAACACTCTTTTGATAAGATTAATACCACGGTTTTAAGCCCAGAAAGTGTTGACGGTTGGAGCAGGATAGCGATTTTAAACGATGACGTTGCGCAAAGAGATCGGAATTATTTCGAGTGTTTAAGGTTGATGTGGCACTCAGGCCCGTAGACGAAACGAATGATATATAGATGAAATGGTATGTTGTGTTGTCCTGTGTGGTGTCATCTGGTGTGGGGTGAAATGCTTTAGTGTTCACAGGTGTGGTGTGTTTCATTAAGGCGTGTCAGTTTTCCCAGTAGAGTGGTGCACTTGGAGGAGGTTTAAACTCCATTTAAATCCCGGCCTAGGCAGATATTTTGCTAGTATTACGATATCTTATATTGCAATTATTTCGGCGTACTGCTGGTTGAGTAGCCGAGGGCGCGGCACATGGTGATAAAGTTGATCCATATTTACCTGTATGGGCAGAAGGCACATTCGGTATGCATTTTGCTGTGCGTGCAAAAGATGTATAACAATTTGCGGGTTTTGAGGTTGTATGTGTTTTCATACTTATTGTATTGCGATTGTTTCTTTATAATTTTATTATCTGTATTGTTTGTTTAAAATTTCTTTACCATCGGCTTATTACGGTTAGCGACTCACGCCTGGCAAGATATGGCCACAATGGGTGCTCCTTTGAAACCTTGAAGAAGGATCTTGCGAGAGAGATTTGTGATTTTCGCTCACTTTTTTAAAATGAGATTTACACTTTTAAAGTGTTTCCATAAACTACCCGTATGATGAGCGCTTAGATAGATGCGATAAGTGCGACTTTGCTTTTGTAAGTCTGGGTGCTTCACTGTATTACATTGCAAGTGGTGATTCCTTAACTTTAATTTTGAATTGTATTTGATTATGAAATTTAGGCAACTATGAGGCACTATAGTAAGAGAAGTGTCGATTTTGGACATTCTATGACAATTACTCGTATGTTGCGGACGATATATGTATGGAAGTGGGCGATTGTGGCCAAGATATCGTTAAGATTGTTTGAGGATTGTGACCATTTTCTAAGTGAAGAAGAATTAGGATTTTCGCTTGTATCATAATTGGCGAAAGCCATCCTGCGGGGTCAAAATGTTTATGCGGATAATGCGGATATTGATTCAGTAGGATATGAAAGCTGATCAGATATCGCATTCCATTGGATCCCTGTATTTTTATGTTGTACTGCCCTTTTCAAATTTAAGGAAATTAGTGTAAAACAAATTTTCTTTTGGAATCTAGTAATAAATCTCGATGATTTGGTTGAATTATAGATTTTGTGTTTTAACACTGGGGTTGTCAAGAACAAACTCTCACATGGTTTTTGTGCCAATTTGTAGAGTGTTGGAAGTTTGTGGCTTTGGTGAGTAGTACGACGTACCGGCCATTATTTGATCGAGTAGTTGTGGCTTTGTAGAAGTCTTTACAATACTGATCTTTTGTTGTAATTGATTGAGGGGGCGTTTTTCTAACTCCGAAGTTTTAACAGTGAATGAGGTATTCTTTAGAGTATTCTCAACGTTGTTGTTGTGAAACTGGTTCTGTAACTAGTCCACTTAGGATCAACCGAAAATAGTATTTTGTGCCAATAGTTTGTTTGAAATTTTATCTGAGGTATGAGATCGCTGCCTAATAGAATGTCTATTTGTTCGGGATGTTGCAGTTGGGATCTGTACGCTTTAGGTGTGAAACCTTTTGCCAATGCTTGCTATTTATGATGGCAGAAGCATATTTGTTAGTTGCGGTAAGACTGGCTTCTGCTTTTTCTCTTATCCGCTTGGGAAATAGGGTATGGGACAGATTTTATTTGAGTTTTGGACTACTCTTCGCCCATACCCGTGATTTCAAAGTTGGCTTGTTTTGTTGGCAGTTGTAGCCTATTTTGTGCCTAGAGCTATGAAAGATGTTGTGATCCTTGGT